TTGTGTCTGCCAGATTAAGGGTGGATCTGCCTTCTCCAGCCTACTGAATGTTAATCTCTTTAGGCAGTGCCCACACAGACATACCCAGGATTAATACTTTGTATCCCTCAATCCAATCAAGTTGACACTCAGTATTAACCATCACAGTGACCTTTATTCTAGCTCCCAGTAAGTTCCTCATTTTCATCTGATACCTCCTCGGCCTAGACTTCATTATTCATATCACTGTCAGCATTTTGGTCACAATCATTCAACAATCTCTAGGGAGTTCCAGATTTTCCCCTCATCTTGCTGTCTTCTGAGCCCTCCACACTCTTCCAACCTCTGCCTGTTACCCAATTCCAGAGTTGCTTCCACCCGACTCCTTGTACCAATTTTCTGTATTACTCCTTTCTCACATTGCTATAAAGACATGCCTGAGACTGGGTAATTTATATCAAAAAGAGACTTAATTGGCTCATGGTTCCACAGGCTGCACAGGAAACATAGTGGCAGTCTGCTCCTGAGAAGTCCTCAGGAAGCTTTTAGTCATGGCAGAAGGCAAAATGGGAGTAGGCATCTTACATGGCAGGAGCAGGACTAAAAGACGGGGAAGGTGCTAGACACTTAAAAAACAACTAGATCTCGTGATCACTCACTCACCATCACCGGAACAGCACCAGGAGATGGTGTTTAACCGTTCATAGGAACTCCACCCTCATGATCCAGTCACCTTCCACCAGGCCCCTCCTCCAACACTAGGGATTGCAATTCAACATGAGCTCTGGGTGGGGACACAGATGCAAACCATGTCAGTATATATGAGCTGTATGAGACGGGAAAGACGAGGATTAATGTTAGTGAAATAAATGCTTTGTGATTTTATTGGAAACCGATCTGAAAGATACCACATAAAACTTATGCTGTAGGCTTTATGTGTCTGTCGTAGAAGTTTTGGAGCCCCTGTGTGGGAAATAATATGCATTGCTCACATGCCATGCCAGCAGCATCCTTGGGTGAACACTGAGCAGAAATGTAATGCTTCCCTTTGAATAATGGAAAGGGATTTCAGCGGTTTGCTCTGCTCTACACTTCTGACAATAGCAGGAGATAGAGGAGAGCCGTTCCCTCTGCCTTTTCTAGGGTGCAGCTGTGTTTAGAGCATGTAACTGTCCAGATGTCAGGTTCTGGGGTCACACTGTTTCCCTTACTGAGTATGTAGACAGCACATTACAGGGGTTTTGATTAGTCATTTAAAGTGGCTTTTCCCAAACCAGTGGTTTGTTTTTTTTTTTTTTTTTTTTGAGACTGAGTCTCACTGTTGTCCAGGCTGGAGTACAGTGATGCCATCTTAGCTCACTGCAACCTCCACCTCCCAGGTTCAAGCGATCCTCCTGCCTCATACTCCTGAGATGCTGGAATTACAGGTGTGCACCACCACACCCGGCTCATTTTTTTATATTTTTAGTAGAGATGGAGTTTCAGCATGTTGGCCAGGTTGGTCATGAACTGACCTCAAGTAATCCGCCTGCCTCAGCCTCCCAAAGTGCTGGAATTATAGGTGTGAGCCACCTCGCCTGCCCCAAGCCAGTATTTTTAATTGTCCCATTGTTGTGAGCCCTGGATATTTTTTTTAATTGCTGAGGGCAATGCATGATGAGTAAGAGGTTTGTTTTGCTTTTGGTAACCTGGGGGAAGTGCATTTTGAAAGGGAGGTAGGAAAGGAGATTTGTTCTCAGGCAATTCAGTTTCACAAAGAATCTGTAGAGGTTAAGGTCTAGCGGCTGATTCCATAAAACCAGTGGTTCTCTTTGTGTGGTCCCCAGACCAGTAGCATCAGCTCTTTCTAGGACAGGCGTCCCCAAACCTTTTACACAGGGGGCCAGTTCACTGTCCCTCAGACCGTTGGAGGGCCGCCACATACTGTGCTCCTCTCACTGACCACCAATGAAAGAGGTGCCCCTTCCTCAAGTGCAAGGGGGGGGGGCAGATAAATGGCCTCAGGGGGCCGCATGCGGCGTGGGCCATAGTTTGGGGACGCCTGTTCTAGGACCTTGTTAAAAATGCAGATTCTTGGGCTATACCCGAGCACAACCAAACCCAGAACTCTAGGGGCCTCCAGGTGATCCTGACATAAACGTATGATTTTAGATGCTTTTACCTGACTCATTGATACAATGTCTAGATGATATAATGACTAGTTTTCCATAAACATTAGACACTTAATTTTTATATATTTTGGAACCAATATAATTGTTTTCAACTACACTAAAGAGCACAGAATATGTGCCACCTGATGAATACAGGTCCCTAATTGCCAAATGAGGAATGACAGGAGCTAGAACCCTTGGGCATGACCCTAACCTCGTGTTCCCCTGGGTCCTCTCTTGAAGGGCATCCTGGAGCTCTGCTGGCAGCTCACAGCCAGGGCCAGAGTCTGCTGGGAAACAGGTTAGTCCCTAGACATTTCCTGAACCTGGACCACCTAATGACAGCTCTGGAGGGGAGAATACGTGCCGCCTTCAGGAAAGAGACCAGACCATCATCCTGTCTCCCTTGGACTTGCATGATTTTTACCAGGTTTATTGCAATTTTACCTCTACTTCTGATCCTTTTGAAATGTAACCATTTGGTCTTACTAAAATGCAAATCAAGTATAGACACTTCCTAGCTTAAAATTAAGACCCGTAAGATGGTCTTTTGCCTTTGGGAAAGTGTCCCGAGGTTTCATCTGGCCTTGCGTCCTCCTCTTGCCTCTGAGTTAAGCCCTGAGCAGACCTGTGCAGATGCCCTCTCAGCAACCTCAGATGAGGCAAGGGACCTTGCTAAGGAAGGGTTCTTTTTTCATGCCACCCAAAAAATTTACATTAATTTTGATGTTGCTTTTTCCTACAACATGAGCTACACAGCCTGTCCTATCCTGTCCTCAGGATATTCATCTGTGTGGATGACTGGGCTGTCCCTCAGTTATGGATGAGAAGGCTGTCCTGGGTTGGGTCAGTATGGATGAGAGAGTTGCTGCCTGAGTCACTACTGCTTTTAATTTTTTAGGGTCCCTCTTCCTGTATTATAATTTCTTATTTAGTCACTGTGAGACTGTGACTAATGAGCTCTGTGAGAACAGAGCTGTTTGCCACTATCTCCCCTGGGCCTCGTGGAGAATTAATAAATGCTTGTCCTTTTATATTTTTGTTCTTTTTTTTTTTTTTTTTTTTTTTTCAGATTTTGTTTTATTTAGGTTCTGGGGTACACGCGCAGATCGTGCAGGATTGTTACATAGGTACACACATGGCAAGGTGGTTTGCTGCCTTCCTCACCACCACCACCCCCACCAGTCACCAGTTTCTGGTATTTCTCCCCACGTTATCCCTCCCCACCCTACCCACCCCCGCTGTCCCTCCCCTAGTCCCAACTGACTGCAGTGTGTGATGCTCCCCTCCCTGTGTCCACCATGTGTTCTAACTGTTCAACACCCGCCTTAATTTTTCTTATTCTGTGTATGTGAGTATGTGATATTTGTAAGGTTGAGAATAAAGACTAAAGTTAGAGAGAGAACACTTTACATTAATCATACAGCTCCTATGTAACCTTCTTGTTTGTCAAACATACCCTGAATGGTTTTGAAAAGTATTAGGTTGCTGTATCCATCACTTATTAGACTTCCGTGATCACTTTCTACTTTGTCCATTTAAATATTCCCTAACATATCCAAAGTTCTGTTATTGATGCATTAGTGCTCAGACATAAAACTATTAAAATATTATTGATAAAAAGATGAGGCTCTATTTTACTACAGCGTTTGTGCCACTAAGCTTAAGTCCCTTGAACCTTTAAAATTATACTTCAGTTTTTTTCTTTTCTTTTTTGAGATGGTGTTTCGATCCTGTTTCCCAGGCTGGAGTGCAGTGCAGATCTTGGCCCACCGAAACCTCCGTCTCCCAGATCCAGGCGTTTCTCCTGCCTCAGCCTCCTGAGCAGCCGAGATCACAGGCATGCACCACCATGCCCAGCCAATTTTGGATTTTTATAGATACGGGGTTTCATTTATGTTTGTCAGGCTGGTCTCGACTTCAGTGGATCTGCCCGCTTTGGCCTCCCAAAGTGCTGGGACCACAGGCGTCAGACACCGTGACCGGCCCACTTTCGTTTTTTCTTAGTTTTCAAATCCAGTTATGTCAAAAGTACATATAACAAGAATTTGAATGTAAATTATTTTGGAATTGAATCCAAATCATTAAATACTAAATTTGGCAAATGCATTTGACTGGGCCAGAAATTGTTTTTAAAAATTGAATAGAAAGTGTGACAAAGCTGAAACTTGTAAAATATACATGCTTTTATGACAAATCATTTTGTGATAATTTAAATTTTCAAGTTAGCAGTGTTATATAGTAGACTTCAATATAAGTTGGCTGTTTGAAATGTGAATATTGGGCCGGGCGCGGTGGCTCAAGCCTGGAATCCCAGCACCTTGGGAGGCCGAGGCGGGTGGATCACGAGGTCAAGAGATCGAGACCATCCTGGTCAACATGGTGAAACCCCGTCTCTACTAAAAATACAAAAAATTAGCTGGGCATGGTGGCGCGTGCCCGTAGTCCCAGCCACTCAGGAGGCTGAGGCAGGAGCATTGCCTGAACCCAGGAGGCGGAGGTTGCGGCGAGCCGAGATCGTATTTTTGTTCTTTTAATACAACATTTTAAATTCATCAGTCTCTATAGCAAACAGTATGAAATGTCTCAGAGAACTGAAAATAGAGTTACCAGTGGATCCAGCAGTCTTACTATTGTGTTTCTACCCAAAGGAAGAGAAATCGTATTAAAAGGATACCTGCACTTATGTCTTCATTCTAGCACTATTCATAACAAAGATGAAATCAACTTAAGCGTCTGTCAGTGGATGATTGAAGAAAATATGGACTATAAATACTTGTTTGTAAAGTATACTAACCACACCTTATTTCTGGCTTTTTCTCTGGTGTTTATTAATGCCCATCCCCCCCAACCCTGTCTCTTGCATTGTAGTTTGGGGCGGAATTCCGAAGGTTCTCTCTGGACCGTCATAAGCCTGGGAAGTTTGAAGATTTCTACAAGCTGGTTGTGCACACCCACCATATCTCCAACAGTGACGTAACTATTGGCTATGCAGATGTGCACGGAGACCTGCTGCCCATCAACAACGATGACAACTTCTGCAAGGCGGTTTCTAGTGCAAATCCCCTGCTCAGGGTCTTCATCCAGAAACGAGGTACTGACGTGGTTGAATGGCTGGCTGGTCTTGTTGAGCAATCATTTTTAAAATACAGTTTTAAAATATTTCTTATTTAGTCCCTGTGAGCTCTGTGAGAACTGAGCTTTCTGAATTTTAAAATATTTTTTTGTCGTTACAGAACCATGTGATTCTATTTTCTAACCTGTAGTAGGAGATTAAAGAAATAAAAATTTGTTTGATCAATATTAATTTATTAGACTTAAAATACTTAAACTGCATTTTCTACCTTAAATGGTGTTGAATTCTAACTTTTAAATACTGAAGAAAGAATAATATTGATATTTCCAGTTTAACTAGAAGCGAGATAACTCAGTGATAAGGAAGCTTGAGTCAGTGGCCTCAGAATGAAACTTGGGATTACTGGTGCATGCTTTCCATCATCTCTTTAGGAGCAGGGAAAGTGTTAGTTTAGATAATAACTTTGACTGGCTTTTAGCTCTGAGCCCCAGTTTTGCTATAAATAATAATATCATTTTATGTTAAAATAAATTACTAACATAGGGTAATGCCTGAAAGGGAAGGGGTACCCTGCTGCTGACTTATTGTGGGACCTCATACTACTCACGTCTCTGAACTACATTTAGATATTTTTTTCATCTCCAAACTTCAGAAAACCTTGTTGTTTCAAAACGATATGCTGAAGGAAAGAAACACCTACAGGTGAGGCTTGATACTGGGAAAATGGCATTTTTATAACTGACCGTCTCTCCTTCTTTGGGCGGCCCTGCAGTGGACGTAGTGAACACTGACCACCTCATGGAGCCAGGCAGCAAGTGGCGATACTTGCAAAGTGACGTTGCAGTGTGCCCTATCTGCCCTTGTGGATATGCTGCCAGAATCTTTGGGACAGCTAGGAGAGGTTTCCCAGAGGAAAGCCTGAGCTGAGACTAGAGGAAGCAGCAGCAGGGTGCTAGGCAGGCAGTGGGCTGGGCGAGTTCTCAGACGAGGCCCCCCCGCCTCCTTCACCCCAGTGTCCTGTTTTGCAGAACGAGGGTACTGATCTTAGCCCCCATCCAGTTACTACCAGGGTGATGCTGAGTAGCGTGCCACCAGCTCCTCAGCCCTGCTCTGTAAATATTAGCTATGGCTGTTATTCCCATTTGTGGTGATGAAGGGAACGGCAGGAGACTCGTTGACCTCACTTGAGGCAGATTCTCTGGCACAAGATCAGAACAGTCTGCATCTGCAGTTCTCGCTGGGCCTGGGTATCCTGCTGATGGCGCTGAGAAGTCAACACAGCTGTCACTTCCTCACAGTGGCCTGGGGGGTGGACTGAGCTTCAGCTTCCTCATCAGTCCCTCAGGGTTGCTGGGGGACAAGCACCCTCGCTTTCTCTGCATGGCTGTACATAGCCTCGAGCATGCCGCACCTCAGTCCTCCGCATGCTGCCCTCTGCAGTGGCCACCTGCTGCTTGGCTGGTCCTGGAATGGAGTGCCCCCCTGCCCCCCGACCTGGAACTCTCCACCCCTTCACAGTGCCTGGGCGTCTGTATCTGTTCACAGGCTGCCTTCTCAGGAAGGCCTGGTTTCAGCTGCCTGATCTGAGGCGCTCGTGTTCCCCTCCCCCCATCCTCTGTCTTCTTACTTGGCTTCCTCTGTGCCCTGTCCATTGTTCCCAGGGCTGGTTTGCCGTCCGTCTCCACCAGACCAGGAGCGTAGGGTGGGGTGTGTTCCTGGCTGTGCCCCTGCCATCCAGGTCATGGCATTTGCTTACATGTGTAGGCTGAGCAATGGTGTAAAGAAAATGTGGTATAAACTGCAGATGTGCACACAGGCTTTGTGGCTCATTGCTCATTTTGTCCCACTGACTGGAGCTGGGGTGAAGACTGGCAGAGGCACTCTGCCCTTTGGAGGCTGGCCCCAGGAGTCTTGGCATCCTCCATGTGGGATGCACCAAAGCTGGGGTGGGACCGGAAAGCGGGCTTGTGTGTTGCCAGTGGGAATGCTTTAACATCCAGCAGCAGCTCAGACAGCTCTGCCTCTTCCAGCTTGCTGGCTGGAGCCCTGTGTTCTGTCTTCATCATTTATTTTTCCTTCTTCCTCTGCCCTCAGAGTAGTAGCTCAGTTTAACTAGCTGGCTTAGGGTTTCTGAGTCTCTCGTGGTTTTAGCATGAGCATGTCGCCAGCAGCCCCTGTCTTTCTCTGTCATGTTGCTGTGTGGAGCTAGGGAGACCCGAACTCAGACCCCACCTTCTCCCTGGCTCTGTGACACAAACACACGCCTTGCCCCGTAGAGCTCTAATGTCCTCCTCTGTACTACGAGTGGCAGCACCTGCCCTCTGCTGTTGTTGTCAGGGCTTAATAGAGAAACCTGCTGATGACAAGCCCTTAGCTGGTCCTGCCTATACATCACTGGCCCCTCAGTCCTGTCTTTGGGAAAATCTGAGCTGCCTCTCACTATCCTCAGTGGATTTGACTGTAAGGATGACGACATTCCAGGTGGCGGTCAGGGGCAGTTGTATCCGGTGCACAGTCAGGCGCCCTCCTGGCATAGTAATCTGTGTGGGTGTTTAGTAATCTGTGTGTTTGGGACAGAGCTGAGGTCCCCTGAGAGGCAACACTCAATCCCACAGCCTTTTTACTGCAGCAGGCATGTTGAGGGGTCAGTCAGTGTTGTGCTATTTTCATGATTCTGTTGCAACCGTACCTACTCTGTCATTTGCTTAATAACTTTCTGTACATAGACATATTTTATCTAAATATATTTTAAGAGGGAATTTACTGTCACAAAGGAAAAATGTCAGTAATCTTCTAACATGTTGAAATAAACCCACAACTATGTTTTAAAAAAGTAATCTGTTGCTAAGAAGGGCATGATGGCTCATGCCTGTAATCCCGGCACTTTGGGAGGCCGAGGCAGGTGGATCACTTGAGGTCAGGAACTCGAGACAAGCCTGGCCAGCATAGTGAAACCCCATCTCTACTAAAAAATAAAAAAATTAGCCAGATGTAGTGGCATGCGCCTGTAGTTCCAGCTACTTGTGAGGTTGAGGCAGGAGGATCGCTTGAACCTGGGAGGCAGAGGTTGCAGTGAGCTGAGATTGCACCACTGCCCTCCAGCTTGGTGACAGAGCAAGACTCCATCTCAAAAAATAACATTAATCTGTTGCTTAAAATAATCTCTTCCTCCAACCATACAAAGACATAGTGATAAACTACAGGACAGCATTCCTTTATGAATGTAGGTGTAAAAACCCTTCACCAAAATAGTAGCACATAGAAAAATACAGCCGCAGAAAAAGTACACAAATGTTTATGGCAACATTATTCACAATATTCACAAGGCGGGAACAACCCACGCATCCATCAGCTGGTGAACAAAGTGTGTGCATGCTTGTGTGTGCACGTGTGTGTATTAGTCATTCAGTGGAATATTATTGAGCCATAAAATGATGCACTGCAACATGCTACAGATGGATGAACCTCAGAAACTTTATGCTTAGTGAGAGAAGTAGATTCTCATTATTCAAGGATTGTGTATTGATGAAAATGTTGTGGCCAGAGGCTCACAGGAACCTAACCCTGTATTTCCCCCGGAAGCAATGGTTCCATGCTCGGTAATTCATTGACTGTGTCGAGTTTAGAGAACAAACTGCCACGTGTTGCAAGAATCCTCTGTCATGTGCGAAGTCCAGAATAGGCAAATCCATAGATTCATGGTTGCCAGGGGCTGAGAGGTTGGGAGAATTGGGAGGGGTGGGGTTTCTTTTTGGGGTGATAGAAATGTTCTAGAGCTTAGAGATTTGTGTAAAGATGCCAACAGTTGTTGAATTAAACTTCAAATGGGGGAAGTATATATGAATTATATCTCGATAAAGCTGTCAAAAATAGAAAGGACTATCTGCCTGACCAGGGGGGACAGGCTGCTGAGAGACCCCTGGATCTGAGCCATAGCCCTGGATGATGTTTTCTCGGTTTGTCTCCAGCCGTTAATTTCCAAAGTTCTCCCATCCTCCATGTGTGACTACTTTGACGTTGTAATAAACATGTTTGTTCAAAACTTTAAAAATCGTCTCTTCCCCCGTAATAGGAAACTTCCTGTGCTTCTCTGAGAGGGCTCCAGGCATAACGAGTGTCCCCGGTGGGGGCAGGAGCGTGACATCCTCAGCTACCTCCCTGTCCTCACTGGGAATGCACACAGCCCAGCTCAGTGGGATTAGCTGGGCCTGTCACTTTGTTACCAATAGAAATCACAGATATTTTCATATTCTGTGGTAGTTGCATTCTGATATCCTAAATATAATTTGCAGTAATCATTATTTAAAAACAATGGTACACACTGTTATTTAATGCATGAATAAGAATGCACATAAAGTAATGTGCCACACATTTACTTTACGATTGTGATCTTGTCTTCAAAATAATTTCCTTTATGATCCCCTGTGTGTCACTTTATGCATTTAAGAATGTCATTTTGAGAAAGGGGTTCCCAAGCATCATCAGATTGCTAAAGGGCTCTTGGCTTATACCAGGTTGAGAGCCCCACTTGTAGAGAGGCTGCATGGGGGACTGAGACGACAGGCCAGGCGTGACTTGGCTTCCATCCTCCTGGGATGAACAGAACGTTCTTCGATGGCCACGTGGCATTTGGGGGCAATAGGGCTTTGGCCTTCGCTGCCTTTCTTCGGCATTGACTAGGCTTCTGCTGCGTCTGCCCAGGGACTGTGAAAAGTCGTGGGCTTTTCCCTGCGACAAACGACAGCTGACATTGCCCTTCTCTGTATCACCGTGCCCATTTAAGTAATCAGAACAGAGTTACCAGAATGGATTGGCTGCGATGAGAGGGTCTGCGCTTGAGTCTGCATATATAGGTTGCAAACAGTGTGTGTTAAGGACCCACTTTTCTGTTCCCCTGCCTCCCCAAGGGTTCAGAAATGTTTTGGGAAGCTGGCCCTTGCCAGAGAATGCAGAACCAAGTTGATGCTTGGAGCATCTCTTTCTATGTTTAGCAGGATAAACAGGAAGTACAAACAGTA